ATTACAGATGTTGTATATGATCCCTGCCTCTTTGTACCACTATCAAAAACTGTGAAGGAGTTTGTGAACGTTGGGAGCCAGGTGATTTTAGCATGCACAGAGAGAAACTCAGGGACCCTTCAAGAATTTCTCCAAAAATTAGGTAAATGTCACAATGTTTTTAAGCAAACCTAATTAATGTTTTTAATTGAGTTCCCTGTCCTTCATGCTGCCTTTTTTATTACAGAGTCTTTACACCTTAAGGTAGATGAGGATGTTTCCCCAGAGCCATCAATTATTCCCGTTTCTGATGACTGGATTGTTAAAGTTTTTCGAGTGTCTAGTGCATAACCAATCATATCTGTATAGCGTATTGCATATTGTGATATATATGTTGTATTACAAATCGCCAGGTGTCTAATTGTTTCAATTTTTTCTGAAGAAATAAACCTTGACTGATATTTTTCTTTCCGTGTGTCTACAGTCTTCCTTGAGAATTGTCTTTCTCTAATTCACTCAGCCAGCCAATACCAAGGAAGGACATCATGTAGTCCCCCCTTTTGCCGAGTGTCCGGAGATTACCAGCCGCAGTTATCGGATCAACAACGACCCAATCACAATCACCGACGCAACCTTTACTGCGAATTATCGCTCCCGAAATTATACTGGTGCCACCTCATCAGCTGCGTAGTGCGTTTCTGGCTAGGCCAGTTAATATATTTTGTCACTGCTCTTTTCATTGTTACTTTGCATCAAGTAATCAATTAACTTTGTTACATCTCTTTCCCTGAGGCCATGCTATGTTGTGTCTGTTAACAAGTTGGCAGCCTCGTGTCCTACAAGCTGTTTGGACCTGGAACATGGCCTCTTTGTGGTATTGTGTGGTAGGGTACTCTGCTTTCAGTATAGTTTGAACTCGGCCAATAATCTTTGTTAGTGCACAGTCAGTCAGTCGGCGACGAGCCCTGGGCCCTGCTCCCCCGCGCACCCTCCGCCCCCGGCGCTCTACTGCGCTCTGCGTGATCCGGTTACTGTTGCGAGGACCCGCCCCCTTAATCCTGTTAGGTAGGCCGCCCGGTGTGCAGGGTGCTTCCCTCCCGCGCGCGCAGTACGTTGACTCGCGTCCCCGCGGCGGGACCGTCGAAGAGCACAGGCGCGCCCAGGATGGCGAGGGTCTTGTGCGCGCTCGCGCTGTGCGTGGCGCTCGCACACGTAAGTGGTTGGCGTTAATAGCGGGGGTGGGGAGGGGGGGGGGGATAATTTCCATTTCTCGCTCGCTGCCGCTGCCGCCCTCAGCAGCGGCGCGACGCGCCCGTTGGGTTGCCCGCCCGCCCGGCGCGCGCCGCTCCTCCATGCCCGGCTGCTGCAGGCGGCGGAGGTGAGAGTGACGGACCAGGTGTTCTTCGACATCAGCATCGGCGGCGAGGACGCCGGCCGGATCGTGTTCGGGCTGTTCGGCGAGGTGGCGCCCAGGACCGTGCGGAACTTCGTGACGCTCGCCTCGGAGGGCATCGGCGGCAGGACCTACGCGGGCACCCCGTTCCACCGAGTCATCAGGAAGTTCATGGTCCAAGGTGAATTGTTCTCCGGTTCTGAAACTGGATACTTTTCGCGGGTAGTGCACTTCTTTATATTTTTCCCGGGAGAACTATGCATAGCAAGCGTCCGAGCAGCCGCGCAGTTATTTGGTCACCCCTCGTTCTCGTTCGGTCCGCTGATGGTTCGCATAGATCCCCCGCCGCGCCGTTCCCCTGCGCGCGTTTCCCCGGCGGTGCCCCGTCGCTCCGCGCTCCGCGCTCCGCGGGGACTTTCATGAGGTTGTCCCTGTCCTGCCGGTCGTCCGTCCCACACCGTTTGCACGCTGATCGCATCTTTGGTCGCGTCCGAAGCTGCGTCCGGCGCGGCACTCGGCACACGCCACGCCAACCACACAAACACAAGGCGCGTCAGCGTGGATAGGGCGGCGCGTCGGACCGGACCGGCCACCTGCCGTCGTCAAAAAATCACCGCGAGGAGTTCCGTTTCCGAACGCCGCCCGCCGCCGACTCGGTATTGCGTCACTAATAACCGCCCCCCTCCCCTGCCGCCCCTCCTCCCTCTCCCCTCCCGCCCCTCCCTTTCTCCCCCGAGCAGACACGTCCTCGCGGCCCTGCCCCTTGTCTGACCAGTTCGCGCGCCGTGTCCGTCTATCCTCTATCCTGTCCGTCTGAGTCGACCGGAAGTCCATCCGGCCGGTCAGCACAACTCCGATCACAACAACACTTTTCATTAATTTTCCAAGCCTTTATGGGGGGTGGGGTGTGGGTGTAAATTCAACAACACAGAGCGGGTCGGGCACTGGCTGAACCCTGTTCTCTTCTGAGGATACGCCGTTTCAGTGCACCAGTGCACAGGGTACATCCAGAAAGTACGTCCGCCCATTCGCCGTCGTTACGAAGCTGCCATGTTCAGACCGTGCAAGCTTCCATAGCGCCTGACGGGTAGGCAACATTGTGCCTGCAGCCCATGCGTGTACCGCGGGGTGGCCTACCCCGAGCCTCGCAGGCGCCGAGCTTCCGTGGTTTGCCGAATAAAATGTGATACAAGCGGGAGTACTTTCTGGACGATCGCTACTCGGTAAAACTAATGCCTGATTGTTTGAGGTAGAAGGGAAAATTTTAAGGGACTCCTACATGAGGAAGATCAGAGGCAGATGCCCAATAAGAGGAACAAAAAGAACGTAGCGGGGAGGTGGCGTGGCGTAGCGCCGGCGGCCATGCTGTGTTTTGTCCCAAGTGGATGTGTGATCATAATTCAAGTTTTGTTGAACTTGTAAAGAAAAATTGGGTCCATACCAGACCGGCACAACAAGCTTGTGTCAAAAAGTGCTTCTGCAAAGTTTGGCTTCGGAAAAGTAAGTTTATTCAATCCTCTAAACCGTCCCGGTGTCGTTGTTTAGGTTAGTGTACGGACGTATTGCATTGGTACTATTTTAATTCAATGATAATGACTCAACTCTCGTTATAAACTTTGGTATAGGTGGTACCAAGGTGCTAGATGCATAGGCCCGTTGTTCTAAACTGTTTGAAATCTAACGAAACGCATCCTAACCTCTACTAGACTGTCGTGCTACCTTCTTCTTGTTCCTCTTATCGGGCAACTTCCTCATTTCAGAAAATCTTCCCAGATCTCGCCTCGGACTTTGAGGATTCTTCTCTTCTCAAAAAAAGATGAAAACAACCTTTTTTGACGAAACTTCCTCAAAATCGGAGGAGTTTCACTGAAACCAAGCAGGGGGTTCCTCAAAGTTTTCCCTTTTCCCT